GAGGAAATGAAAACATCATCAGACAAGTACTGGTCTCTCTTGCCCACTTGAAACACTGAGGCCAAGCTGGGACGAAAGAACATAGTCAGGTAAGGTGGAGAAAGGGGTGGTCTATCTTCTCTCACCTACATGTGTCTTTCCCTATGACAAGCAGGTCTGTGCTCCTGCTATTTGGGTGTGCACAGGGCAAACACATGCACAACCCTGACCCAACAGCTCAGTTTTGCTGTAAGGGTTGACAAGGGTGATTCTTCTATTCTTTTTCTTGATTACATCTCATATATCAACCAGTTGCCATCGTGGTAAAAAGCTACGCTACATTCCAAAGAGACAGTCAGAATTTTGCGGCTTCTGCCACTCTTTGAGAAGGGACAGCTGACGCAGGTCTGCAACTGCTGAGAGGCAGAGGGACGTGTAGTGAAATGTCCATGTCATCTCTTGCCTTTTATAGTAGGAATTAGCTGGAAGATGCAGGTAAGATCAATCATGGGATTCTAATGCCGGGCCTTGACCAAACTGGAGCATCAGAAAGAGAAGCCAGCCAGCTAGAAATACAATGGACACATCCATCACACCATACAGAAGGAAACTAACTATAATCCCATTACAAACCTAAACTTTAAGCCAAGCAAACTGGGCAAGTGCTGGGTTCATATACTGGTGGCACTAGATGAAAGTTTAGCTGCAGCTGCCACCTCCATCACCACCACAACAAAAGCAGTGTGGTCAGAAAGCAAACGTTTGTCACACCTCACAAGACCTGCAGCTGTTCCTACAGGCAATGGTCAGAAACCACAGCTAATGTGGGTGGGGGGAGACACTAGTGGGCACGTTCCTCCTTTTCCTCATCTCTCGCTCTTGCCCAATTCTGTCTGTCTTTTAATTCCGCTCTTTTGTTCTTCTCCATCTGCCAGAACCCAGAGTTCCAAAAAGTCACTGGTTACTGTGGTAACATCTGCCCTCCCCTTTCCTCTCCTGATTACACTGTAACCTAGCCAATAGAGCAGGGAATATCCACCTCCCCCCCATTGCTTACACACAGAAAAAAAACAACAACACATGCCCACATTAAGGGCCCTTGGCAAAGCTTGGAGCCCACCTGGCAAGGTCTTGGTTGAGAAATACTTCACTATCTCCCAATTGTCTTGTTCACAAGCAACCCCTCCCTACCTTTCTACAATCCCAGAAGAGATGAGATTAAAAAAAAAAATTCAAAAGAAACCAAGGGGGGGGAGGAGAAGTGCATTAAAAGAAGTGGGGAAGAAAAAACGGGAGTGGAGGAAGAAAGAAGTGGAAAATGAAAGAAAACCAGAGAGGCGAAACAGAACGGAGAAAGCAAAAAGTAGGGAAGTTGCTGGCGGAAGTGCCCCTGCTATTCCTGCGGCCGTGCTGGGCCCTAGTCCAGGTTCTCTGGACCATTGTTTCCCTGCCCGCCCGCCCCCCAAGTCCAAGTTCATCTGGGTGTGACATCATGTCTGGTTGCTCTGGGAAACCAGACGGGCCAGACGTGACATTGGTTATGGGATGGGAAGGGGAGCCGATCTTATTTCTGCTCTGTTTAGGCTCCTTTGCTCACCACCAGGGAGCAACAGAGGCCGGGAAGAAAAAGGACGAACCAAACGGAGAGCCAGCTTGTGTGGGACAGGGAGGAGCAGGGGATTGTGAAGAGACAGGGCTCCGTCCCTTCCTTTTCCACTTTACCCAGCCCCCTGTTTTTGTCACTCTAATCCTTCATGTGTGCCACATTTCCCTTCTGGATGCACACTACCGACAGGATTAAAATATCCCTGAATAGTATGATAAGGGCCCTTGGTAAGATTTGGATAATATAAAATGCAGCCCAGGTAGGGTGGGCAGGGTTTTATTGCACATCAGCCGTGCAGTTGCTACTCCATTATCACAGGATAACCCTGTTAGCACCTCTGCTGTGGAGATACAACAGTTTTCCTGCAATAAAGGGACTATTACGTTCCCAGAAAAATGCAGGATCCCCCCTCCTTCAACTGTTTCTTCCCCTGCAACTGAAAGTGCCTTCTGTACTGTGGCTGCGTGAGTGCCAGGGGCCCTTTCTGGCTAATGATACCACTTATTCTAAGCAACAGATTTCCCCTCCCGGCCCATCTATCCATAGCACTCTCAGAAGTTTTTAGAAGATGCTTTGTTTCCCTATGACTCTCAGCATCACGCGAGCTACGTATTTTTGCAGGAGTTCTTCCGCTGCTTACAAAAATCACTAAAAACCTGGCATTCCTAATGTTTTGTGAATCTTTCCTTCACGTTGATTTTAGTTTTTAGTTCTGCATGGCAGACATCTTGTTCTACAATGCTATTATGTGAGAAAAAGATACTGTTAGCAAGTGAAGATTACATTAAAACTAACAGGACAAAATTTGGCAACAACGTGGCACATATTCATAGGCGAACCTTTAACTTTGTTGTGGGGTGTGTGTTCTATTATTGCATTATGTGGAATTTAACGGCACCATTAGCAGGAATGTCTGCAAGTCTCTCTATTATGCTTTGCTTCAAGAAATGCGTTAACAAATGGCTCAAACAGTGCAGAACACACTCCAAGATACATTTAAGAGGCATGTAAGAAAAATTATTTCCTCTATATTCCTCTTCTCTAAAATGCATTCTAAGCTGCTGCAGAGGGAAGGTTCCCTGCAAACCAGAAGATGCCACTGGGAACGGGCCCCCATGGAACTCCAGCCAGAGAACCACAGGAAGGAATGATGCAACCTCTGGAATGGTCAGTCTTCCATCTCTGTTCTGCCACAGGATAATCCCCTCGTTTGTGTCTGCTGGCACCTCAAGACAAAATGTGGAAATGGCATCCAGTCCTATACAAATGGAGGTGTGTTGGCACTGGGCTCATCCTCTAGCTGCAGGTATCACAGGAGGGCCATGGCCCAGTATCATTACACAACCAATTTTCCAGTTAGCTGGTTTTAAAATGATTTCACTGCCTGTCCTGGAATGTTGGGTACATCAAACCACTGCAACGTACCATAGTTGTCTCACTTCTGGAGGGGCCTACTGCTCCCCACACAAATATTTTACGCAATACCTGGGCAATTGCAAAAACAATCAAATGGCTGAGCTGTCAGTGTCGCTGTCCAATTGGCTCCAAATTCCTATCCTACATCTTTTTAACTCTAATGTGAGGTACCAAGAAATCAGTAAGATTTCCTTCCCCCTGTTTTGCTGGCAGACATTTTCTTCAATGGCCGGGAACACTGATCGGCAGCAAAGCACCCCGTGAGGCTGGCAAATAATCCAAAATGAAGATGAAAAAGCAAACTGGAGATGCAGGGGAAGAGATTGTGATCTAAAAGAAGGCCTCTTCATAATGGGGAAATGATGACAGAGCAAAGAAGACATAGTGTAATGACAACAGTCCTGAATAAATAAAATGGTAGGATTATTCATAAAAAGTTTATTTCCCATTTTTCACTGTGCAAGGTTTTTTGTTCTTTGTTTTTTGATTTAATAGGTTCTGATCACACAGTCAGATGGACCTAGGCTTAGGACTACTTCACACTTGAGACTTCTAACATGGATACTTGCAGGCAAGGGGAAAAAACATTGAATCATGTAGATTTTCTCAGGTTTCACTCAACAACTGTTGAGACAGAACATCATCTTGGCAAGAATACATTGCCTATACACATAGACTGCATTTCTATGTCACACTAAACCATAGTTGGCACAATGAGAACAAGCTGCAATGAGTCTCAGAATAGTTCACTCCCCATCTCTTCCCTGTCCTCTGGTATGGCTGAAAGATGGAGTTTGGAAGATTGCACTGCCAGTTTAATTTAAATGAAGTTTGTTGTATTGTCTGATCCCGACAAATTGTGATTATCCTTAACTGTAGTTTGTTAGAAAGAAGCCAACTACAAGCCATGGTCTTGCTTAAATATCCTTACAGTTAACTGGACATATTAAACTGTGGTTAAGTGATATCAGAAGAAAAACGTCCAACACTCTCCCTTGTGCTTGCCTCAGAGGTAGAGTGTGCAACTGGAGAGGATAAAAGCTGAAGTTCTACTGCACCTGCAAAAATACAGCATGTGTGCACTCGCTACAAATGATCATGTATATTAATTTCCAAAACATTTCCATATATGAAAAAGAGTAGTGAAGTCATGGGGAATGCATCTATATTTGATTAGGTATACAAGCAGAGAACACATGCCAGGAGACTATACTTTCTCAACTTGTGTATAGTTGTGATGATTTACCAGTATGTTTCTTGCCTATGTCTCCCCCCCCCGCATCAAAATGTTTTCCATTTTGAAGTTCAACAGGTGAAGGGGCCATGAGCCTTGGTGACAAGAATAAAGATGTAGGGAAATCATAATCTGTAACTAGCCTTCAGACTTCATTCTAGCCAAGGTCACCAAAGGAACTTTGTGGTTGAGAGAATGAGGAGGTCTTCCCTCTCCAAATCCAACAACCTTTCTATTGTTTTACACTTCAAATGTTGCAGTTTTGTTATCTAATTCTGTCTCAGTCAAGACTTAAAGGCTCTCTCCTGAAGTTTCAGTTTCTTGTCTGGAAAACGCAGGGATAACCTAGGATGCAAATCTGATTTAAGATTACCAGAAGTAATTCTGATAATGGCCAAGGGGCTGGATAGCATACTGAAAATCCTGTAATTCTGATACTTCGTCTCAGCTGTTATTCTACCTACTAAATGCCTCTTTCCCACAGTTAACAAAACACCTGAGGAGATCCACATCGTAGTTGTCTCTTGTTACCACCTGCGCTGTGCCTGACTGTGTGTGGAGACTTCAGTGCTAAATATGATGCAGGTAAGAGACCAAAAGTATCAGCTGACGCTCGAGTGTCTGGTCCTGGCCCTCACCCCATCCATCCCGTCAGCAAAATCATACCAATCACCCCGCCCTGCCCCACCCTACCCTCCCACACAATTCAAGCTATGTTTGGGCTACTGCCACACATACACCCTCTATGAAGCTGGTTCCCCCTACCTGAGATTGCTGGGGGATGTTTAGAAAGTTGCCGTCCCGGGGTCCGATGCCGACAAACCGGTTGGCAGAGGAGGAGGAGCCTGGCGCTGAGAATGCTGGAGGGGAAAGAGACGTGAGGCCGTTAGGGCCACAGGGTGAGATTGATGGCATTGATGGTGGTCATGGAAAAGGACGGGCACACAGGCCTTTGAGGTGAGACTCAAGACAGCACAATGCAAAGAGAGAAAATGGGCACAACCCTTCCCTCCCTCCCTCCAACACCCTCTTCTCAAAGGGCCAGAAGATCGGGACAGCCAGGAGTTGGTTGCTTTGAAGCATTGCAACTGCTTGTTGCTTTAGAGACGGGAGAGGCACAAATCCAACCTGAGTGTGTGTGGCGACCTCAGCAAGGGTTTGATGCAGCAACCTCGCTGAAGCCCTCAGAGAACCCCGGACTCCTACAGGGCAATTCAAGAGGGCCTGGGGTACTCCTCTTGGACTAAGCACTGCAGTCTTGTAGAGTCTTTGCTGATTACAGCGGGTAAGGGAAAATGCTGGCCTTCATTCCACAGGCTTTGTGTCTCTCATGCATGCTCTCTGAATCTTTATCCCTATCTCTTTCACAGCCCACAGTTTTAATCTCCACACCTAGTTTTCTTTTCATTCCTAGAGGTGGCTGGGGGCTTCTTTGCTGAGCTGCCTATCTTGCCCACGGGCAGAAGGCATTCCAGAACATGCCCATGTATGGTTCTGCCAGGAGATGGAGTCTTGTGGTCTGTATACCTCCCCTGGGCATGGTGGTATGTGCCAAAAATAACTGAGCTCAGCTCTTTGGTATTTAGTATGGTGGTAGAGAAGGCCAGGGCTGAGTGAGGGGCAGGGAGCAGGCAAAGCCAATCTCCAAAGTGGAAACTCATCTGGGCCAAAATACTTCAACACAATGAAAGTTCCCTAAGCATTCTACACAGACACACACACACACACGCACAAACACAGAGTCACATGCATATAAGCATAAACCTAGCTATATGTGATTTCACTTTCCCACTCAGCTACTGATCACAAGCATCTCTGGTTGCCTGAAGCAATTTTATTTGCTGCCCATGCCTACAGGACCTTGATATAAACGCAGTAGTCCTTGCTCAGTGAATTCAAGGGCTGCTCCCCAACAGTGATTTCAGGAACTGGTGGCAAAAAAGGGAAAGTCCTCTTTAGCTCCCAGCTCCTTCAAGTATGTACTCCATATGTTCCCTGGCACTTGACACAAATTAAAATCTTGTGGCTCTGGTCCTTTCTCTTGACCTCCAGCTACTAAATAGGACAAAGAGCTGAGCTACACAACCAGCAACTCAAGCCAGATATCTGTTGCTGGACACTATCACTTCATGCTAGGGATAGGAAGGCTGACTATTCAAAAGCCTCCCCTGTAAAATAAAACACTGTTAAATAAAATCTGCACATCCAAAATGAGCAAATGGCAGAGGAAAAAAACTGTAAGTTAGTCTTCTCACTGATGTGCTAGTTTTGAATGCAGGACACTTTTTTCTTTTCCAGTAAAGGGGGGCAGTATCAAGAACCTAAAGTCTAATAATTACGAACGCACCACCATCACCACCCCAGTCTATCTGATATGGCTCACGCTAGCACCAGTATTTTATGCTGAAACTGCTGATCATGTGGATCAGCTCTTGACATCTGGCCTCAACCTTACAAGCAGCTGCAGTGCCCCATGCACCTTCTGAATACTTTGTTAGCCCTATTATGAAAACAGGAAAAAAGAGCAATCAGCACAGACATAGTTCCAGAAATGTCTTCCATGCCTGCAACCTGTCCCCAGCCCTTTGTTCCTCACTCTGCCCCTCCCAACATCACCAATTTAATGGAGAATATGAACAGCGTGACAGTGAGCAATGCATGAGCACAGATGCAGAAAAAATTAAAAAGAAAAAAGAAAAGAGGCAAGGAGATAAAGCAAAAGGAAAATGAAGTGATACCTGGTCTTTCCTCCAAAGGGAATCCCCTAAGCCAAAAGAGATTGTAAAACTACTTTGTAGCTGGAGAACCCAAAAGCCTTAACTCCCATCCCTTTTGCAATAAGTTGGATAAACTTCCTTCCACTTCCCACTTGATGGGAACACTGATAGGCATCTTAGTTCACAACAATCCCCACTCACATCTTAAGACACATCTGCCCTTGTGGGTTTTTAGTCCAATCACCTCTAGCCAGATGTCTTACCAAATAGTGGGACAATCTCTGGAAGTTCTGATTGCCATCTTCCCCTCCTTCCCATTGCCATAGGCACACCCCTTCCAGAGACAGCACGAACCCATCATTCAAGGGGTGATAGGAATTTTACTATGGAACTTAATAAAACTTAATTTTTGAAGCATCAGATAAACACCTGTAAACACAATCTTCACCCATATCACAAAAAACAAAACACCTAACAATACTTCTTATCCTTGGAGTTACACATATATGGTTTATTTTTGTCCCTTTAAAAAAAAATAAGCCCCAAATCCTTATCCTGGAGCCACCATGGCAACCAACAACATAATGAGTAAAAATAAAATTAAAATAAAAGTGTCGGAGCTGGGCAGCTACTGCATCTTTAAACGCTGGGGGATGGGATGGAAGGTGTGACAGGGTGATGGCAGCTTGGGGAAAGGGATCAAATGGTGTGTTTCAATCTTTAAAACAAGCACAAAGCACAAGACTTGATGATGACAACATGGTGCCCCAAGCCCACCTTTTCCATCTACTCATTGCCTAAAGCCTGCTTTTCTCTCTCTCTCACTTCCCCATTCATCTCTCTATAACACACATTCCTATTTCTCTCTCTCTTTTCCCTGACTGCTCCTGTTCCGCGCCTCTTTCTTCCGCATCTGTCGCTATCTATGGTCTTCTCTGCTTCACTTTTACTTATCTTTCCTTTGACCTTTTCTATATTCTCCTCTCCCCATTATTTCTGCCCTGCTCAATCCCTGCTGAAGGGCTTTGGGCAGGGAGAGAGTGGTTTTGTTTTTGCTGTGCTTGGTGGTTTGGGTTACACTTGGGTCCACTTACAAGGTGACGTTGGTGTCGGCGCTCCGCCTTCTGGGTTAGTGCTGGTGGATTTTGTATCAGGCATTGGAAGGGGCACTGGTCTGGCCACAGGTGGTGGTGGCGGCAGCAAAAATGACCCCGTGACTTTGCCCTGGCCGCTACCGTTAGGCTGCGAACAACATAAATACAGTGATGCGTGAACGAGACAAGGCAACGTTAAAGATGCAGTATCTGCTGGCGGCTCTCAGGGCTCAACAGCAAGGGAAGGGACTTCAGCTTATGTTTGAGATATCATTTTCTCCCCCCCCCCTTTTTTCATTACAATTATTATTCGATTTTATGTCTTTCCCATCTCTCTTTTAAACTCTCATCTCGTTTCCTCTCAAACATGTACATTCTCCTTTCTTGTCACAAAAGACTCAGGCCTGAATCAAAAGCCAGGGTTTCCCAGTGTCCCAGTATGATTGGCAGGTCTAAAGAGTGAATTACAAGATGTGAAAACTCGAATGAAAATATTCACTGTCACAGATAACTGCAAACATATGTCAAAGTCGTAGATGACATCTCCATTTCTAGCGACAGACTCCGTTCTTTGCTGGGCATCAAGGTTTGACCAGATTGGTTCCTAATTCCAATGCAAGAGTGCAACCAAATCCATACAGGTGCACGGAGAGAAAAGAACAAAGGAAGAGATGTCTTAGTAGTGAGACAATCCCCCAATTATTCCATCTGTGTTAACTTTGGTTCGTAAATAGCTCTGCCTATAGGTCCATATATATGATTTGCTCATAAATATAATTCAGAACATAGAAGGAAAAAATGTCTTTGTGTGCATCAGATATTTCTCCTCCTGTCTCAGTGAATGACAGCCACAGGTGTCCAAAATGCATCAAGCTAGTCTTCAGAAAACACTGAATGGGTTTTGCAGCAAACCATGCAGGTCCAATCTAAACTCAAAAGCTGTGGCCTTTTATTTCTCAGTACTTCATCACAGAATGAGAGATCTCTTTTTAGAGCCTTTTAAATAAACACCTGAAATTCAATTCCATCATGAAACCGGGGCCAGGACAAAATACCTAATGTATCAAACCTAACATCAGCAGGTTGAGGAAAACTTTTTCCTTAGCTCAGTTTCCCCTGTCACATGCAGTGTACAATCCAAGCTGGGATTTGGATTGTAGCAACCACATCCCACAGAAAGAATGTCCAGTTCAAGACTATGACTTCTAGTAGGCATTGATAAATGGGCATCCTAATTTTCCTAACCCTAGAAAGGAACAAAAGTCATCCTGTGCTTCCATAGGAAGCTAGTGAATGAACCATTCTGCATTTTTTTGCAGTCTACCAACTTGCTTGGAGATTCTGGCTGTGCCTATACCACTACCTCCTTTGATTTGGTGGAGGCTCTGTGCAGTCTTCAGGGTAAGAAAAATCTTCATTTCTGTACCAAGTTCAGTGTGCTTGTTATAACCCAGGAATTAAATACGTTATCACAAGACTACTAATGGTGTCAAGGACACCTACAGAAATTTTTCAAGCAGGGGAGGAACCTGCATAGTGTTATGTTAGCATAATTCACATGCACAGCACACAGCACTATAACACTATGCACCTGCTTGTGTACATTAAAATAATAATAACATTTAGGATTTGACTGGGGGGGGGCAGCCATCTTTCCTTCTCCTCCTTAGATACACAGTACATAGTGGTGCATGGATTTTTAGTTCTGATAACAACTGCTTGCCTGCTTGCTTATTTATTTATTTAGCTTGAGACAGTACTCTAACAGTCTACAAGGATAAAATAAATTATAACCCCAATCTCCCAACAAAACCAATAAGATAAAAACCCTACATTAAATAAAAGCCCAAATGATGATGGACTCTTAGCTGTTTCATTGCTACTCTGCATGTCCTGCAAGAGTGGCAAAGATTAATTAAACTAGGAGAGTTAATCCTGACTTGAGAGCTTTGGTGGAATTGACAAAAGACAAAATGCAGAGTGGAACTTTAAAATGTCTTATGCCTCAAACTGACGTGGTTACTCTCCTGGAATATATCCTCTGTTAAAGATTCTTCAGTGTCTTTGCCAACTGAATTGCTTCTATATTAGCCCTTTTCTTGGACCTGCCACCATTTTATAGAATCATAGAATAATGCAATTGGAAAGGGCCTCCAGGGCCACTGAGTCCAACCCCCTGCTCAATGCAGGAATCCAAATCAAAGCAGATCTGGTAGATGGTTGTCCAATTTTGTTTCCTTATGTGTTTTATGAAGAGTCCATGCGGCATCATTGCCAGGTCACTGCACAATTTTTACATTGTCTTCCAGGGCTTTTTCAGAAAGAATGTGTAGTATTTATTTATGTATTTGTTTATTCTGCTATAAAATTTAACTGCAACAGCAGCCTGTCAAGCACAGACTGGCAAAGTGCTATAATGGCTTTCAAGGGTTATTGTAACTTTAATCAAAAGATTAGTTATGTTCCTTTTGTCCCTAATCCCCCAGCCACATTTTAATAGGCTGCAATACAACAGCCAAAATTTACCAAAAGGAAACTTTTAATTATTGTTATAGTAGACTTCTGAGTGGGGTGTATTTGTGTATAAATATTATAAAAGAATCTTAGCTACAGGAAGGATACATCTGGCTAATATTAAGGTAAATTCAATGCTACGTGAAACTCCCTTCTTAAATTCAATTCCACCAAAATACAACAAAGCCATGCCTGAGTAACACTAGCTTATGAACAACTTTGACCACATAACCTCATTTCAAGGAGGTTTAAAGCCAAAGAATGCTTTTATTCCAAGCTCCTTTTTTAGTCACAGAGCCTAGATAGACTGACATATTATGAGATGTGGAGGGGATACTCCTGCATTTCATTACAAATGTGCACCTCATAATTCGATTGATTCCCCACTCTGCCTCCTTGACAGGGGCTGGCCTCGATAATCCATAGGGTCACTTCCAGCTCTGCAGTTCTAAGATTATTATTATTATTATTATTATTATAAGCCAAGTCACAAGGACTTCCTTTGGTGGAGGCACTCCAACCAGGCCAAATGTATGACCTGAAGCAAATGAAGGCATTTCTAGGACAAACCAAACTACTTAGGAAAGTTGTATTTAAAGGAGATTAAAACAAAAATCTATCCTACAACCAACAATGCCTCAGAAGATTCCACATTCAAAAGCCCACGGTGCTCTAAAAATGTTCAACTGCAGGTCTATGGAGGCAACTGCGATCTGCTAGTGCTTGCAAAGTCTTAGATCACTAGGATCGCTCTACCAGCTTCACAAGTTTTGCAGGGCTACACATTCTAGATCATGCTTAGCTGAGGATCCTCCTCTGCCTTGGAATCCAGAATACTTCAAAGTTCCAGAACACTCAGAGTCCTTCAGAAACCTTCAGAAACAAAACGAGCAGCAGACAAGGAAGGGGGAGGGAAGGGGGTGATGAAGGGGAACTGTCTGGGCCACACTCGCCTTCCTTTGAGAGGTCATGTTTTACAGAAAAAGACAACAGAAGAGACACCTATCTTTTGAATACATCACATTCCCTCCCAACACCCCTCCCCCCAAAAAACTTGTCCTCAGCACAGTTCTCATAGCCTAAATGTTGCAACTTGTATATTTTCAGCTGTCAAGGTATGAGGCCATGAGCTATTTGGTGTATCAAACCGTTCCTTGCATTAAAAAGGATCCATTCTGCCAGAATCATGGGGCTATATAAAAGTGCCTATCTACAGTGCCAATTACTTCCTTATGCCCTAGACAGGCAGGCAGGCAGGCAGGCAGAAAGTGGGAGGGAGGGAGACAGAGAGGAAAAGGAGGCAGAGAAGGGTTGTAGGGAAGAGTTCTGGTTGGAGTGGCCAGCATCCCTGGGCTGAGGTGCAAGGCTCTTACCTGCCCGGAGCCCTGGCCTGAGCCATCCGAGCATACAAACTGCACAAATTCCTTCAGCGAGTCCTGGCCGTGGTGGTGGTGGTAGCGGATGGTCGGGTGTGTGAAGTAGGGGCTGGACTGTTGGATGATGGAGGTTGACGGGAAGTGCAGGGCCGACGCTGTGGCACGGGGGCTTCCTGGAGAGGGTAAGGACAGATAGACAGAAAAACAGAAAGAAGCAGAGAGAGGGAGGGAGAGTTAGAGAGAAAGAAAGCAACAGAAAGTGACAGAGAGAGAGAGAGAGAGAGAGAAAAGAAAGAGGGACAGAAAGAGATGTCAGTAACAACCCCCATGCCATGCTGCTTCCATTCCACACAACCCAACAGCCACTTATATCAATCATATTTTCTCAGGCAGCAGCTGAACAACCAGCCCCAAATCCTTGTTGAAGAGGGTAAAGGGTGCTATTTTGTCTCATTTCCAGGAGATACAGATTGACTTAACCCCAACAGCTTGTAGAAAGTATTATTTCATAAGAGCATGGAAACCTAAGCATTTGCAAACGTATACAAAGAGATGCAAACGGATTAGAGTTGTGGATGTAAATAATTCTGAATGCAGAAACGTTTAATGTTTGTCTATATGTATGCATGTGTGTATACAAATATGTACACACAGTAAGGATGTGGAATGCTTTTGCTTCTATGCAAGTATACCTTCCATTTTTGCTACACTGTGTTGAAGCCCTCTGTTTTACAAGCAATAGTTCTTATACTCTTGTTTTAATCGATGCCACCAACCCCCAATTCCACTATCAAAATGAAATACAAGTACATGTAGCTTTTCTTCCTGTTGTTGTTTTTCCTCCTCTTCCTCTGATCTAATTTAAGATTTATTGTCCTGCTATGGCAAGGACTCATCTTGTTCTATCTGCATTGCTCTGTAAAATGCCGTGCACATTAATATAAATTAACTGGGAGTGGATTCCTTTTTAAAATAGATATGGAAAAACAACATAGTGTATTCTTTTCCTTGGAACTTGCTGGCTACTTAGAAACTAATATGGAAGACCAGGGGAGTAGTTAGCCAGAGAATCAGTTGTTGTGTGGGGAGGACTGCCTTTCCTGCCAGTTTCTACTACTGTATTCATATTGATACACTAGTCAGACGGTGCAAACTGAAAGAGGGACTATGGTTGATAGCTAACATGGGAAGCTAGGGGGGGAAAGGCAGGAGGCTGCTGTCAGGAAGGGAGAAGGTTCTAAAACAAAAGCACTCTGGATTAATACTGAAGTTAAGAAAGACCTTTACATCCATACTAATAGTTAGCCACCATACGTACTTCCTAAAGATTATTTAGGAATAACTTCACTGAAAAATCAGCTGCATTGGAGGGATTTGTTGTGGAAAGAGGCTAAGAATTGTTTAACACTTTGCTTCTTTGCAAAAAAAAAAATCTCAGTTGTAGCTACACAGAAGAGGATGCTCCTAACATTACAAGATGTTGTCACAAAAGAGCATTTACACTGCACAATTGTATCCCTTTGATACTATTTTAACTGTCATGGCCACATCCTTTGGAATCTTGAGACATGCAGTTTGATGAGGTACTTAAAATGATCTGTTGTCGCTCACGTGAACTACAACTCTCTAGCAGAGAATACTAAGTCTTTCCCTAAACCGCAAATCCCAGGTTTCCTTAGGGTGGAGCCATGGCAGTTAAAATGGTATCAAATTGATATAACTGTGTGATATAGATTACGGTAGTTGGTTAGCCTATTGTATGGTTTTTTTTATTATACCACCCATTTTGACTGTATATTTGACTGTGAACCACTCGGACTAGTGCTGGAGCATTAATGGGAGTGGCAATTAATTAATTAATTGCATGTAAAATTGCTTCATTGAATTGAGTGTAGAGATTTGACCTTTTACCATAGCATTTATAGCTCCATTAAAAGCAACTTCTTTAGATCTCAAAGATTTAGAAAGCAATTTTAACCTGGAATTCTTGGGATAGGTGGCTATAAAAACAATAGTGGAACAATTCCAATGATTAGGAACGTTGTGTTCCATCATTTTTGGAAGTGATAACTGCAGAGATGTAATGCAGTGTTTGCTGCTAACTCTGCACAGGGAGATTCATCAGACTGCACCTGTACTTACTTTAGGCCCAAACATTATGTGCAAGAGATCCATAATTGAATCACCCAAAATTGTTGATTAACTGTGGTTCTGGAAGAAGGAGGTGTTTCACCAGTGCCAGTTTCTTAATCAAAAATCATATACTAGTTGTTTGCTTCACAAGGGAAAAAAACAGATTTGGAAGACCTTCATTAGGAAAATGGAGTCACAAAATTAGGGTAAGGATAGCACTTCTACAATGACAGCACTGAAATCAAATTAACAAGTGCTTATCATTAAAAAAAGTAAAACTTGGGGCATACAACCACATATTTTCTATATATGTTATTTGCCCTTAGTTTCTGCCAGCCAGTTATGTCCTGTCCTTCATCAATCCAAATTAATTTGGACAAATTAACAACTGCTGCAATTTTTACGTTTGCATTTTGCACAGCTTTTAAATGTATTTTTAGAGTTTTCTAATACTGATTTTTTTAAAAAATATTTTGTTTGTTGAAGGTTGAGTGATTCTATAAACAGAAAAAGGACCAACAAGTTCAGAAAGAAAATATTTTAAAAATTAAAAACCTACACTTCTTTTTGCTTTCCATCATTTTTTAAGAAACCATCCAGGTTAAAACTTAAAGAGAGTTTCACACATTGACGCAATCTTGTGTACTCAGAACATAGTACAGTGGGGTCTTGACTTGAGAACTTAATCCGTATTGGAAGGCGGTTCTCAAGTCAAAAAGTCTGTAAGTCAAGTCTCCATTGACCTACAGAGTGATTCTATAAACAGAAAAAGGACCAACAAGTTCAGAAACAAAAATATTTTAAAAATTAAAAACCTACACTTCTTTTTGCTTTCCATCATTTTTTAAGAAACCATCCAGGTTAAAACTTAAAGAGAGTTTCACACATTGACGTAATCTTGTGTACTCAGAACATAGTACAAATCTGTTGTTTCAGTGACTGCACATGCTCTCACCAATAAGGTCTGTGTAGATCTGTAGATCTGTGAAATGTCATTTCTGTATACACCCAGGCTAGAACTGGCTAGGATTCTAGTTCAGATACTCAATTTTTGGTGCCTTTTGAAAAGGCAATAATTTAATTCATTTCTACATCTTTTGACCAACAACACAGCTGGTATACTTTTAAAACTACAGACCAGAAGCAAACTGTTCCTTGTCGAAGTTTCAGATACAACAGTTGCATCTGCTTCCTTTTGTTATCTGTGCTTTTAAAACTGCATTTTGTTTAATATATTAGCCTGTTTATAATACAACTGATAATTTTGAATGATAGTTCTATACTATACAGTATATCTTCTAAGTCTTAAAATTCTCCAGGTTACACAGTATTAATAGCTGCATAATGTCTGAGGATTTGGAAGGTCTGTTAAGGTTACACAGCTAAAGAATAAGCCTAGACCTCTCCAGGTCAGAGCTATGACTTCTCTCTAGAGGCCATTTTAGAATGGGGAACTACCTCCATTTCAGGATGGAGTTCATCTCAGTTTACCCATTCTGCCCTTTCATGTAAGGCAATGATTCCCAGCCTTGGGTAACCCAAGTGTTTCTGGACTGCAGCTCTCAGGAACCCCAGCCAACACAGTTGGTGGTGAAGGCTTCTGGTAATTGCAGTCCAAGAATATCCAGATTACCCAAGGTTGAGAACCACTGATGTAAGGCATGACTCTGAATCTGAGTGGCAGCAAAGGAATCAAAAGATAAAAACTGACCTGGTCATACCACAGTAAGCCTCTTTTAACATATATTATGAACTCACATACAAAGAAACTAGCTGGAAGACTGCAGCCAGCCTAGCTGGTACACCTGTCTGGCCAAAAATAACAACATGGCCTCAGTCTTCAGAAAGAAAATTTCTTCTCCATTAGCCTTACCCATTTCCAACTGTGCTTATGACTGCAAGTAAAGCTGAACTTTGAATAAAACACTACCCAAGGCTAAGTCCAAAGTGCAGAGAGGCTGGCAAGAAACTAACCTATTACTAAGGCTAGAATTAATACTCCTATTAAAAACCCATGTTAAGGATAGCTTTGAGGCTTCAAGCACAGCCCACCTAAGTCTGTATATTCTTGTGTCTTACTCAAAACACTTTATCAGAGATATTGCCACAAGACACTCATGTGAAACATCTTCCACTTGACACAGAATTCTATGCAACACACAGGATCAGTGCATGTATTGCTCCTAAATAAGTATACATTACATAAAGTCCCTGCTCAACCACATGCCCCAGCAGCATTCTCACATGAACCAACCAAACAAGAACTGCCACAACATTTGTCCTTCATGATTCTTACATTCAAACACCTTCTTTCTGTGCATATAATCATTTAAGTGCCTATAATAAATACAGCTAAATGCCTTTAGTATAATTACATCATGCGCATTTACCCATCCCAATATATAAACAACAGTTGTCAGTCTCTGACTATAACACCAGTATAGATTATTCATTCACCCTTTCTTAAATGCACACAAATGAGCAGGTACACACATACACACACTTTAATTTTGATCCCTGGAAAATGATAGGATTTAATTTTTTGACCAGATAACTGTATCAGCTGCCCTGTGATGTGACACTTCTTCCAGTGCCTACACTGTCACAGCATGGTGGGTTGCCACCAGAGAAAGGAGTGTTTGGACATTCCGTGCTATCCGCTCTGCTATCCACTGTGATGTCAGAGTTCCTTTTCATTCTTCCAAGCATTTCAAACTTGGTTTTCTTTCTACTGATATATTTTTTATGCTGCTTCCAAATCTTTGCTTCACATATGATTGCTATTACTTTGTTGTTCAGTTGTTAAGTCATGTCCGATTCTTTGTGACCCCCATGGACCAGAGCACGCCAGGCCCTCCTGATTTCCACTGCCTCCCAGAGCTGGGTCAAATTCATGTTGGTAGCTTCAATGACCAGTAAAGTAAAACTATTACTTTACTGTATATATTTTAGTATTTTTGTGCTATTACTGCATTTCTGCATTGATTGAAAAGCCATCCTGAGAATGTTTATTTAAAGGATAGCATGACGACGACGATGACGACGACGACGACGATGACGATGACGACGACGACTATCCTAATAATGATAATGCTAATAATAATGATGATGATGATAATAATGATAATGATGATTTGGACAGTACCTGGGCTTAGGACAGGAGTGTCTAACTTGTAGTCCTCCAGATGCTGGACTACAAGTCCCATCATCCATCACCATCAATAATAATAATAATAGTTTTTGATGTGAACTTACTTTAGCCAATCAGTTTCCAAGTAAGCATTAAAAATGGGCTGAAAATAATGTTGGCTCTTAAAAGATAGGCTTCGGATATGGTTACTAAAAACTTGCCTAAAACTCTTCATTAATATCCTGTTCAAAAACATAATACGTAACAGCCCCACATCTGCAATACTTCACATTTGCCTTGGTGCTCTCTGGCTTGCAGTTATCTCTTATGCAAGCCAGAGATTGTTCATTGCAAATGATAGTGAGGAACTATGAGTATGGTTGTCCTCAAACAGGAATCCTGGTCCTTCACTTCACTGGGATTTTACAAACTCTATCACAGATGCAATGGTGCTTCAGTGGAAAATCTCTGATAAGCAAGCATAAGATTATTTTTTTATCCTGGAAGTAGCAAGCCAATGAAAACGGGGTATCCTACCTGAATATACATTGAATTTCCAATTGGTTACACTTGTTTCTTTTAAAATTCCATATTCCTAATATATATTCTACTTTGCATTTTATTAGATATGTAAACCTACACCTTATTTATCCTGGTGCCTCCTTTCTCATTTCTGTATACCAAACCAGATTACTGACCCATCAAGCCCACTGCCATGGTCCCCACCTTGATCACATTTAGGTAGATCTGGATTAAATGGAGCAGGACTACTAGGTACATATCCTGGCCTTTGTATGCCATCACAATGATCAATCTTCTCGGCTGCATTTTGCAATTGTTAAGCTGCTTTGGCAGAGAAAAGAGGTAAGCAAGATCAAAAAGTAGCAAGAAAGGGAGGTGGGGAGGGAGAGAGAGGCAGAGAAAGATAGGACAGAGAGGACAGACAGCAAGAGACCATTGCCAGAACCGACATGATTGAGAGCTCTGGACACACCCATTCAGGGAGACAGCCCTGTCCCTTACCTCCCGACCCTTGCCCACAATCCACCCATTCCCCCCCCTAAGAAAATGGCTTTTTTCTCACCTGGTCTGACTCCTGCTAGGACAGGCAGCGGGTGGTGGGTGAAAGCCATTCTCGGGGAGGTGGTGTGGGAGGACAGAGCACTGCAGAAATCCAACTTCCCTGACTTCTTTAAAGAAGCCGGTCCTGGCAAGGAATCAGGGAGAAAGTGCATGGTTTAACAGATGGAAAGATGGATTAGTATTTAGCCGTGCTCTTTCATTCACTCTTGCATCTCAGCGTACAGTCTAAATATGCCCCTTCAGCCAGGATTCAGCTATTGCAGCAGGTCTGTAGCATGGAATATGTGACAAAGGCTACCTGGGATATCTTGTGCCTCTACCTGTCACTCAGCAGGTTTAAAAAGCAGATGATCCGCACCTTAGCTGACCTAAAAGCTGCTGGCTCCCTGTATGAGAAATTGGCTGAAACAATTAGGCATGTTCCACTTTGTGAAGCAGAAGCGGTGGATGCAAAGTCATCAGCATCGTATATTATTTCTATAGCAATTAACTTGTAATAAGCGCTAATCTTTGCAAATCTGCAGAGAGCCTGGAACAATAGTCCAGGGAGATAATAATCAGCTGGTTCACCCTATTAGATCACAACACTTTGTCTCCTTTCAGAAAGGGCGTTTTTGCCCTCCCTTGTAAAGCGGTCCCTTTCATGCATGCTGACAAACTCATTCCTCGTCTTATAGGCACACCAGATATGGTGATCTAATTAACTTGCGGTACTTTGTAAGTTGAATGGTGACATTAACTAACCAATGAGGGGCATCCTTCAGGGCTTCAAAAGTGCAGTCTCAGAGTGTTTTTATGCAGGGCCCCCCAACCCCAGGGTGGCTCACTTGGTCCTGATCCGTGGTCTTGGAATGACCGGGCCACCAGGACAGATGAGCGGCAAGCAGGAGGTGGACGGCGAGCGAAGCTCTGCCTCCTGTCAGCACACTCCTATTAGGTTCTAACGATGCTGCTGATCTGACAGAGGGTGGAGTTTCACTCCCTGCTCTCCTCCTCCTGCTGCTAGATCAGCTGTTCCTGTGGCATTACTGTAGAATCTAATAGTAGCCTGTGCTCCTATTAGGTTTTTTGCTGCTGCTCATCTAACAGGAAGTGGAGCTTCAATTGCAGCTCACCCCCTGCTCCTGCTCGCCATTTCCTTTATGAGCTTGATTCAAAGCGATCCTCCAACAACCTACTGCATAACAAGTACCCCACCCCCCGTCCAGTTCTTGGAAGAATGGTTTTCAACTAAACTGGTCCCTGGTGTCAAAAAGATTGGGGACCACAGTTTTAATGTGTGTTTAAAGTGGTCTTACTTCAGTTGGATTTGTACGGCAAATTAAAGTACTGTACTAGCTCGAATGCTAATTTTATATTACAATTGCCTCTCCTCTAAATTAACAAAGATCAGACACCAACATGAATCTGTGCAGAGGCACTTTGAAACTCGGCATCTGGCTCTACAGTTCTAGACAGAGGAATGAGCATCACAGATGTCACTTCTTGTTTTGAGGAAAGTCTTAGCTAGGTATCCTTTGAGTAGATATATGTTGAGAACTGCTCAACAAATGACAGGAGTGCTGAGGGACAGCAGCTACCCTGTTTCCCCGAAAATAAGACCTAACCTGAAAATAAGCCCTAGTATGATTTTTCAAGATGCTCGTAATATAAGCCCAACTCCCCAAATAAGCCCCAGTTAAGTGAAACCCCGCCCTCCACCCTTGTGCAGCAACCAGAAGAAGATGACATGACTGTATTTGAATAAATGTAGATTCTTGTACATGGAAAAAAAAATAAAACATCCCCTGAAAATAAGCCCTACTGCATTTTTGGAGCAAAAATTAATATAAGACCCTGTCTTATTTTTGGGGAAACACGGTACTGATGCCTGAGAAAAGATACATTAATCCTCCGTTATCAAATGGCTCAATTTCCAGATCTTAGTCCAGCCTTTCTGCATAGATCAGAACAGCTGCAACTGCTTTTTTTTTGGGGGGGGGGATCTCAACCTTATGCATTTTAAAAATGTTTTCAAGTCTCCCCTGCCGGCCAACAGTTTAAACTTGCAATTGGCACACTGCTTTGAAATCAGTTTTTCAAGGGGCATGAAGATACAAGCTTGCCTTCCTCCACATTGAATCACACTGTACGTACTATGGTCTGAAGTCAAATAGGAAGGAAGCCGGAGAAGAAAATCCCATCTTTGACGTTCTCAACCTCAACGTTCACAGAGTATCCCGCCCTCAGAAATTACAAATGGGGCAATGGAAGTCTCAAGAAACAAATCGGAAAGGTCTACTGAAACCTCAAGACTCCTCAATCTGTCATCTGCACACTAGGCTGCAATGAGACCTCCATCAGGCATAGAAGCTAACAAAAGAAAGAAACGCAACCTGGATTCTCCCAGGCCAAAGTGAACTGCAGCATTTGTCTGTGCTTGCCACAGAAACATGTCATACTACTAGGTCCATGCATAATCCTCACCATTATCGACTAGTAATGAAATCAGGAAAAGCAGAAATATATAGTCGGTTGTAATAGGAGCATGTTGGAGATTGCAGTTTATGTGAAATACAGATTATAGTCAGAGAAATGTAGAATTTGCTGGTTAGGCCCAAATTAAACTACTAACTTTTCTTTCTTTCTTTTTTACTGGATAAATGGCCCTTTTTATTAGCAAGAGCTAAGGACCAAACAACAAAGGATGTGAGAGTTTCATGACTGTATAGTATGGCAAAAGAATTTATATTCTTCCTAAAAGACATAGGAAGTATCCTCCTGTAAATAGCATATGATAGTACTGAGGGCTTTTAGAAAAAGTACTTAAAAAACAACAGTATGACAGTTATTTGTTACTTTTTTGATAAATAAATAAATAAACAAATGAATGAATAAATAAATAACCTTATTTTTTAACATTAAGAAGAACAAATGTCCCCAAAAGTGCTTTTGAGGGGAAAGGAGTAACGAAGGAATATTTAGTCCAGCTAATGAACAGCAAAATATGATACACTGAAAAGTTATGTTCCAAGCTGTGAGGGTATTTAAAAGACAGAAACAACAGAGATACTGGTAGAAATTTAATTGGGGGAGGAGGGATTGGTGCAATCAGGACAGTTTTACAGTGGGGGAAATCCTGATTACTTTTGTCAAATAAGGGATAGCATATGCTGTAGTCCTGGAGATGTGTAATACACATCTCTTAACAATGGCAACAACACAGAAGGAGGTAAATGAAATGGCAGAAGATTTCTGAAGTAGAACAACAGTGATGTAGGGCAGCCTTGCACACTGTTTACAGCTACCTCACTGCTTATGACGAAAGCTCCATAGTAAATCCAATAGGAGCTTCTGGCATTTGAACATGAACGCAGACAATTTCTATCAGAGTAGTGCTCTTTACACATCTGGGTAACATCAGAAAAAAAATGAAGTGGCAGAATGGCAGTGGCAGAAATGCAAAAGAAACAAACACACATTCATATATCATGCACAAGAATGGAAATAGAGATACTTCAATTATGTCCACAGGGCATTATCTACATTAATACAGAACTTGGAAATGTTACTGGCATTTGCTGTTACTTTCAGAACTCCTGCTTGTTTGTTAGTTATTGCCAGAGGTTGGAGGTTCAATTACCCACTATAGTAGCCATAAGTCAAAATCAACTTGATGGCATGTAATCATTATTAACGTTACTTGTCAGGTATGAGTAACTTTATGTGCTATTAATATATTATTTTAAACTTTTATTTTCATCACACTATTATTTTTTGAAATTAAATTTTTTCCCATCCACCAAATCTCTTATTGCTGAAAAGTTCTTTCTTTCTAAAAGAGAAATTTCAACCATATGGGTAGCATCTGTGAAAGCTAGTATTAACAATATTTTAGCCAACAGCTAAAAGCTAAAAGTATTGTTAATAAGGCACAGGACCATTCCTAGGATTGCTAGCAGTTATTTTTCAAAATGAGACACATAGGTGAGCAATGCACCAAAAACAAGACACGCTAATGACTTGTGTGCCTCGTTATCAACATCATTAGTACTTCCATAACGCTTCACAAAGCCCTATCAGCTTTTACAGAAGCTGCATATAAGCATGCCCATGGAGTTTGGGTTGGAAAGAAAGAAGAAATATTTTGGTTATGGAGCAGTAGGGGTTGCAAAGAATTTAAGAATTTAAAAAACAATATTTTAAAACATTTTTTGAAAGAGTGAACAATGGTATAGTTTGTGTAACTTGCTACAGCTTGTGGCTAATTGACAAGGTACTGTGAGTCATCTAGTTTGTGTAGTTGAGTATGCCATGGCACTTTTGTTAGCTGCAGTTAACCAGAACAAGTTATGCAAACACCAGTAGGATTTTTACCATTGTGTTCAGATAGGAGGAGGTCTGCATGTCTGGCCAGCCTTCATAAAAGACCAAGTGATTTTTCAAGGAAATTAGGCCCCTGGGTTTCCAAACGAGCCCTTGCTGAAACTTTGCTGTCATGGTGTGGCCAGCTATATATTTCTGGACCTTAAAAATGGCAAAAATCCTACTGGTCCGCTTGGCCCCTTCACTGAGCACATTCAAAAAGCTACTAAAAACCTGCCTATTTAGACAGGCCTTCCCTGAATAAACTACACTCTGATACAATAGTGTCCAATAATATAACTTCTATCATACTGCCATGCTCCATGTTTTTATTTTCTTCTATGCTTTTAATTGTATTTATTGTATTGTAATTTTATCCTCACTTCACTTTATGATTTTAGATTTTCACTCCTATGTATTAATGTCACTATTTGCTATTTTGTTACTCTGTTGTCTTTTGTTATTTGTTGTAAACCGCCCAGAGTGGCCTTGGCTGCCAAATCAAATAAATAAATGGTTGAAAAAAAACCACAAATTAATAATTAGGTAAACATTTAAACTATTAAATGGTTGATATTAAAACTATCAAAGTGGCCCTTGTTGATTTAAAAAAGTAACATTTTAAATATCACAACTTTTCATACATTTCTTTCAAGTTTTATACAAATCCCTGTTCTCTGTTCCCTTATATACTGATAGTGAACTTCAACTCTCCAAATGCAGATCCTTAGGTAGTCAACATGCCATCATTAGTGTGCAAGAGGTAACTATCAGCAGGCT